GAGGCTACCTCATTAAGACTAACCCACTGAGGCTACCTCACTGAGGCTACCTCACTGAGGCTAGCTCACTGAGGCTACCTCACTGAGGCTAGCTCACTGAGGCTACCTCACTGAGGCTACCTCACTGAGGCTACCTCACTGAGGCTAGCTCACTGAGGCTAGCTCACTGAGGCTACCTCACTGAGGCTACCTCACTGAGGCTACCTCACTGAGGCTAGCTCACTGAGGCTACCTCACTGAGGCTACCTCACTGAGGCTAGCTCACTGAGGCTACCTCACTGAGGCTAGCTCACTGAGGCTACCTCACTGAGGCTACCTCACTGAGGCTACCTCACTGAGGCTAGCTCACTGAGGCTACCTCACTGAAGCTACCTCACTGAGGCTACCTCACTGAGGCTACCTCACTGAGGCTACCTCACTGAGGCTACCTCACTAAGGCTAACTCACTGAGACTACCCCACTGAGGCTACCTCACTAAGGCTAACTCACTGAGACTACCTCATTGAGACTACCCACTGAGGCTACCTCACTGAGGCTACCTCACTGAGGCTAGCTCACTGAGGCTAGCTCACTGAGGCTACCTCACTGAGGCTACCTCACTGAGGCTAGCTCACTGAGGCTACCTCACTGAGGCTACCTCACTGAGGCTACCTCACTGAGGCTAGCTCACTGAGGCTACTCCACCTAGGCTACCCCACTGAGGCTACCCCACTGAGGCTACCTCACTGAGGCTAGCTCACTGAGGCTACCTCACTGAGGCTACCTCACTGAGGGTAGCTCACTGAGGCTACCTCACTGAGGCTACCCCACTGAGACTACCTCACTGAAGCTACCTCACTGAGGCTACCTCACTGAGGCTAGCTCACTGAGGCTACCCCACTGAGGCTACCTCACTAAGGCTAACTCACTGAGGCTACCCTACTGACGCTACCCCACTGAGGCTACCTCACTGAGGCTACCCCACTGAGGATAGCTCACTGAGGCTACCTCACTGAGGCTACCTCACTGAGGTTACCTCACTGAGGCTAACTCACTGAGGCTACCTCACTGAGGCTACCCCACTGAGGCTACCTCACTAAGGCTAACTCACTGAGGCTACCCTACTGACGCTACCTCACTGAGGCTACCTCACTGAGGCTACCTCACTGAGGCTACCTCACTGAGGTTACCTCACTGAGGCTACCTCACTGAGGCTACCCCACTGAGGCTAACTCACTGAGGCTACCTCACTGGGGTTACCTCACTGAGGCTAGCTCAGTGAGGCTACCTCACTGGGCCTACCTCACTGAGGCTACCTCACTGAGACTACCGCACTGAGGCTACCTCACTGAGGCTAACTCACTGAGGCTACCCCACTGAGGCTACCGCACTGAGGCTACCTCACTAAGGCTACCTCACTAAGGCTAGCTCACTGAGACTACCCCACTGAGGCTACCCCACCGAGGCTACCCCACTGAGGCTACCTCACTAAGGCCACCTCACTGAGACTACCGCACTGAGGCTACCTCACTGAGGCTACCTCACTGAGGCTACCCCACTGAGGCTACCTCACTAAGGCTAACTCACTGAGGCTACCTCAATGAGACTACCTCACTGAGGCTAACTCACTGAGGCTACCTCACTGAGGCTACCCCACTGAGGCTACCTCACTAAGGCTAACTCGCTGAGGTTACCTCACTGAGGCTACCCCACTGAGGATCGCTCACTGAGGCTACCTCACTGAGGTTACCTCACTGAGGCTAACTCACTGAGGCTACCTCACTGAGGCTACCCCACTGAGGCTACCTCACTAAGGCTAACTCACTGAGGCTACCCTACTGACGCTACCTCACTGAGGCTACCTCACTGAGGTTACCTCACTGAGGCTACCTCACTGAGGCTACCCCACTAAGGCTAGCTCACTGAGGCTACCTCACTGGGCCTACCTCACTGAGGCTACCTCACTGAGGTTACCCCACTGAGGCTACATCACTGAGGTTACCCCACTGAGGCTACCTCAATGAGGCTACCTTACTGAGGCTAACTCACTGAGGCTACCCTACTGATGCTAGCTCACTAAGGCTAACTCACTGAGACTACCTTACTGAGGCTACCTCATTAAGACTAACCCACTGAGGCTACCTTACTGAGGCTAACTCACTGAGGCTACCCTACTGATGCTAGCTCACTAAGGCTAACTCACTGAGACTACCTCACTGAGGCTACCTCACTGAGGCTACCCCACTGAGGCTACCCACTGAGGCTACCTCACTGAGGCTTCCTCACTGAGGCTACCTCACTGAGACTACCTCACTGAGGTTACCTCACTGAGGTTACCTCACTGAGGCTAGCTCACTGAGGCTACCTCACTGAGGCTACCCCACCGAGGCTACTCACTGAGGCTATCTCACTGAGGCTACCCTACTGACACTAGCTCACTAAGGCTACCTCACTGAGGCTACCTCACTGAGGCTACCCCACTGAGGCTACCTTAATGAGGCTAACTCACTGAGGCTAACTCACTGAGACTACCTCACTGAGACTACCTCACTGAGGTAGCCTCACTTTATGAGAATAAAGTCATAACTTTATTCTCATAATGTTACGACTTTATTTTTATAATGTTACGACATTATGCCCCACCAAGGCTACCCACTGAGACTACTCCACTGAGGCTACCTCACCCAGGCTAACTCAGTGAGGCTACCTCACTGAGGCTACCCTACTGACGCTAGCTCACTAAGGCTAACTCACTGAGACTACCTCACTGAGATTACCCCACTGAGGCTACCTCACTGAGGCTACCTCACTAAGGCTAACTCACTGATACTACCGCACTGAGGCTACCTCACTGAGGCTACCTCACTAAGGCTAACTCACTGAGGCTACTTCACTGAGGCTACCTCACTAAGGCTAACTCACTGATACTACCCCACTGAGGCTACCTCACTAAGGCTAACTCACTGAGGCTACCTCACTAAGGCTAACTCACTGAGGCTACCCCACTGAGGCTACCTCACTAAGGCTAACTCACTGAGACTACCACACTGAGGCTACCTCACTGAGGCTACCTCACTAAGGCTAACTCACTGAGGCTACCCACTGAGGCTACCCCACTGAGGCTACCCCACTGAGGCTAGCTCACTGAGGCTACCTCACTGGGCCTACCTCACTGAGGCTACCTCACTGAGGTTACCCCACTGAGGCTACCTCACTGAGGTTACCCCACTGAGGCTACTCACAGAGGCTACCTCACTGAGGCTACCTTACTGAGGCTAACTCACTGAGGCTACCCTACTGACGCTAGCTCACTAAGGCTAACTCACTGAGGCTACCCCACTGAGACTACCTCACTGAGGCTACCTCACTGAGGTTACCCCACTGAGGCTACATCACTGAGGTTACCCCACTGAGGCTACCTCAATGAGGCTACCTTACTGAGGCTAACTCACTGAGGCTACCCTACTGATGCTAGCTCACTAAGGCTAACTCACTGAGACTACCTTACTGAGGCTACCTCATTAAGACTAACCCACTGAGGCTACCTTACTGAGGCTAACTCACTGAGGCTACCCTACTGATGCTAGCTCACTAAGGCTAACTCACTGAGACTACCTCACTGAGGCTACCTCACTGAGGCTACCCCACTGAGGCTACCCACTGAGGCTACCTCACTGAGGCTTCCTCACTGAGGCTACCTCACTGAGACTACCTCACTGAGGTTACCTCACTGAGGTTACCTCACTGAGGCTACCTCACTGAGGTTACCCCACTGAGGCTACTCACAGAGGCTACCTCACTGAGGCTACCTTACTGAGGCTAACTCACTGAGGCTACCCTACTGACGCTAGCTCACTAAGGCTAACTCACTGAGGCTACCCCACTGAGACTACCTCACTGAGGCTACCTCACTGAGGTTACCCCACTGAGGCTACATCACTGAGGTTACCCCACTGAGGCTACCTCAATGAGGCTACCCTACTGACGCTAGCTCACTAAGGCTAACTCACTGAGACTACCTCACTGAGATTATCCCACTGAGGCTACCTCACTGAGGCTACCTCACTAAGGCTAACTCACTGATACTACCGCACTGAGGCTACCTCACTGAGGCTACCTCACTAAGGCTAACTCACTGAGGCTACTTCACTGAGGCTACCTCACTAAGGCTAACTCACTGATACTACCCCACTGAGGCTACCTCACTAAGGCTAACTCACTGAGGCTACCTCACTAAGGCTAACTCACTGAGGCTACCCCACTGAGGCTACCTCACTAAGGCTAACTCACTGAGACTACCCCACTGAGGCTACCTCACTGAGGCTACCTCACTAAGGCTAACTCACTGAGGCTACCCACTGAGGCTACCCCACTGAGGCTACCCCACTGAGGCTAGCTCACTGAGGCTACCTCACTGGGCCTACCTCACTGAGGCTACCTCACTGAGGTTACCCCACTGAGGCTACTCACAGAGGCTACCTCACTGAGGTTACCCCACTGAGGCTAACTCACTGAGGCTACCCTACTGACGCTAGCTCACTAAGGCTAACTCACTGAGGCTACCCCACTGAGACTACCTCACTGAGGTAGCCTCACTTTATGAGAATAAAGTCATAACATTATTCTCATAATGTTACGACTTTATTCTTGTAATGTTATGACTTCATTTTTATAATGTAACGACTTTTTTCTCATGATAGAACTACTTTATTCTCGTAATGTTATGAATTTATTTTGTAATTTTACAACTTTATTCTCGTAATGTTATGATTTTATTTTTGTAAAGTTACGACTTTATTCGCGTAATGTTACAACTTTATTCTCGTAAGAGAACGACTTTATTACGGTAAAATAATTACTTAATTCTCGTAATGTTACGACTTTATTCTCAAAATAAAACAAATTTAAAAGTCAATAGCCTGGCCTGAATACTACATCATAGTGCTTCATTTGATTGGTTGTGTGTTTTTTAAACAGCAGGGGTAAACATGAGGCATAGCTCTGTGTGGGATGATTCTTACCGCTGGAAGCCTTGGTCCAGGACAGGAAAGGCATCGGCTGGCCTTTGGTATCACATGGAAGCTGAGCATCTGCTCCTGTTCGCACGGTGATCGTCTGGGAACGATCTGTTGTTATCCTCGGCTTTCCCCTCTGATTGGATGTGTGGCCAAGTGTCTGCTCATCCTGTGTGGACATCTGCTGATGAACAGGTGTCCCCTCCTCCTGTGTGGTCACCTGCGGATGAACAGGTGTCTCCTTCTCCTGTGTGGACCCAAGTGTCCTATCCTCATGTGTGGTGACCTGCGGATTAACAGGTGTCCGCTCCTCCTGTGAGGTTACCTGCGGATGAACAGGTGTCCCCTCCTCCTGTGAGGTCACCTGCGGATGAACAGGTGTCTCCTTCTCCTGTGTGGACACAAGTGTCCTATCCTCATGTGTGGTGACCTGCGGACGAACAGGTGTCCGCTCCTCCTGTGTGGACACATGCGGACGAACAGGTGTACCCTCCTCCTGTGTGGTCACCTGTGGATGAACAGGTGTCTCCTTCTCCTGTGTGGACACAAGTGTCCTATCCTCATGTGTGGTGACCTGCGGACGAACAGGTGTCCGCTCCTCCTGTGTGGACACATGCGGACGAACAGGTGTACCCTCCTCCTGTGTGGTCATCTGTGGACGAACAGGGGTCCGCTCCTCCTTTGTGGACACCTGCGGACGAACAGGTGTCCCCTCCTCCTGTGTGGACCCCTGGGGACGAACAGGTGTCCCCTCCTCCTGTGTGGTCATTTGCGGACGAATCGGTGTCCCCTCCTTCTGTGTGGTCATCTGTGGACGAACAGGTGTCCCATCCTCCTGTGTGGACCCCTGGGGACGAACAGGTGTCCACTCCTCCTGTATGGTCATCTGTGGACGAATCGGTGTCCCCTCCTCCTGTGTGGTCATCTGTGGACGAACAGGTGTCCCATCCTCCTGTGTGGACCCCTGGGGACGAACAGGTGTCCGCTCCTCCTGTATGGTCGTCTGCGGACGAACAGGTGTCCCATCCTGCTGTGTGGACCCCTGCGGACGAACAGGTGTCCCCTCCTCCTGTGTGGTCATCTGTGGACGAACAGGTGTCCCATCCTCCTGTGTAGACCCCTGCGGACGAACAGGTGTCCGCTCCTCCTGTATGGTCATCTGCGGACGAACAGGTGTCCCATCCTCCTGTGTGGACCCCTGCGGACGAACAGGTGTCCCCTCTTCCTGTGTGGACCCCTGCGGATGAACAGGTGTCCCCTCCTCATGTGTGGACACAAGTGTCCTCTCCTCCTGTGTGGTCGCCTGCAGACGAACCGGTGTCTGCTCCTCCTGTGTGGTCATCTGTGGACGAACAGGTGTCCCCTCCTCCTGTGAGGTCACCTGCGGATGAACAGGTGTCCTCTCCTCCTGTGTGGACACAAGTGTCCTATCCTCTTTTTTGGACCCCTGCGGATGAACAGGTGTCCCCTCCTCCTGTGTGGTCACCTGCGGACAAACAGGTGTCCCCTCCTCCTGTGTGGAACCCTGCGGACGAACAGGTGTCCGCTCCTCCTGTGTGGACACAAGTGTCCTATCCTCTTTTTTGGACCCCTGCGGATGAACAGGTGTCCCCTCCTCCTGTGTGGACACCTGCAGACGAACAGGTGTCCCCTCCTCCTGTGTGGTCACCTGCGGACAAACAGGTGTCCCCTCCTCCTGTGTGGAACCCTGCGGACGAACAGGTGTCCGCTCCTCCTGTGTGGACACAAGTGTCCTATCCTCTTTTTTGGACCCCTGCGGATGAACAGGTGTCCCCTCCTCCTGTGTGGACACCTGCAGACGAACAGGGGTCCGCTCCTCCTGGGTGGACCCCTGCGGACGAACAGGTGTCCACTCTTCCTGTGTGGACCCCTGCGGACGAACTGGTGTCCTCTGAAATGGCGTAGGTGAGACCACGGTGGGTGGAGGGATAGATGTCAACACTTGAACGGCTGGACTGGTGTTAGACGGCTTGTGATTCGTTGGGAAGGTTGTAGGATGGAAGTTCGAGGTGATGACGTCTCTTCCTGCGATTGTTGTGTCTTGGGATTTAGATTGACGATGTGAGTGAGGAAGTAAAACACGTGGAGGCAGTGTTGAGGTAATGGAAGCTACAGCTGTTTCCAAGCTTCTCATAACGTCTGTCCAAGCATTCAGTGACGTCTGCTGGTTTTCTCTGGGCGTTAAATCCGTCTTGGTTACCTCCTTCTGACCAGAGCTGTGGTTCCGATGCTTGGGAAGCCTCCTGGAAGTTGACAGTATTCCTCTGGAAGTTTCCCTGGAAGCTGCCTTCTGACCGCCCGCCGTGGATGAAGCAGTTGAGGTAAACTGGTAAGGCTGCGTTGAGGTTTCCATCCCAGTTGCCTGATGGACCCTTTGCAATTCTGTCAAAGAGTCGTAACGGCCAGTGAGACTGTCGTAGTGCAGCAGAGGTGCTGGTTCTGTTGTAAAGCTGGTTTCAAAGCTGTCCTCTAAAGTGTCTGCAGTCCCCAGCATGCTGTTTCCATGAGTCAAAGCTGGAAGTGACGGTGCGGCTGTAGAGCTCTGCCATGACGCTCTTGGCAGGAGTAGACGGCCGTCCTTTGTCTCTGGGAGTGGGAAAGTCTCTGTGAGCGCCTTGTGGTTCTGCCTGAGGACTGAGCTTTCTTTATGACTCAGTCTGCTTGATGACGCAGCTTGGCTCCCTGTGGATGGAACGGCGCTGCTTGAACCGACTGTAACTCGGGGCTGTTCTGTGTTTAGCTCAGAAATGGAGGCCTTGGCTGCAGGTCTGATGGTATTAGAGGCGTCCAGCTTTTCTTTCTTCCTGTTTGGCCTTTTTCTCCGGCCGCCGTTTCGTCTTTTGGAGCCGACTGGCCGCCTCTTAGACTCCGACTTTCTTCTACCGGGAGGCTTAGGAGCCGTTGAAGGTGACTTCGATGGTTCGACTTCAGAACGTGACTCTGTGGCGTCCTTGGGTTCAAACTGTGACAGAGTCGATGTCTCCCCCAGATAGTTTCCACTTCCCTCTCTCTTTACAGAATTCGTCTGACTTTCCAATGAGAATCTGTGATTTATGGAGCTGATGACATCATCCGGCTCGGCCCCGCTCTGCCTTCCCTCAGAGGGGTCAGCTGTTTGGACCGTGCTGCCGCTGGCTGTGCGCGCGCTGGGCTGGCTGATTGTGATGCCGTGCGGGGGAACAGATGTGGTCTGGGGGAGTGAGAACCCACCATCTGAACTCGTGACCAGGTTTGGCTCTGTGTGTTGGGTCGTGCGCTGTGCAGTGTAAGCACTCTCTGTGGGATGGGGTGCTGTAGTGAGGTGTCTGCTGTTATTAGCGGCGCCTCGCTCACTGTAAGGTTCAGTTGTCACATGATCATCCTCCCCATGAGGGGGGAATTCCTTGATTTGTGGTTCTGTGGACTGTTCAGGGAGGTATTGCTGATCCTCGCTATCATGTACAGTCACGCCATCTGATGACTTGTCAGGAGTTTTCAATGACTCGGTCGTCAGGGCTTTTTCAATCTTTGTTGGATAGGAAGCAGGAAGTGGGCTCACAGCATCCCGCTCCCTGGCCTTAGCCAGGATGTGCGCCCATTTCTTTGGGTCGATTTTGCTTTTGGACAGATGAATCCTCCTTCTGTTCTCAGCTGAACCATTCTGGTTTTCAGTGTGCGACCCCCGTAGCATCGTCCGCCTTTGCCAGGTGCTTCTGGAAGGATGAATCCCCTTTCTCCCTGGGGCTAGATTCCCTGGGATTCTCCTCCTGACTCCACTGATGCGGTGGCGTATCGTAGACGCATCAACGTCGCCCGATGCTTCCTCTGCGTTCTCCGTGGGGATTTTGACCTGTGTGCTAACTCCTGAGGCCGACTGTGGTCTCACTGGAAACCTGCGTAAAGGTCTGATCAGGCCGCTGCGTCTGACAATACTGACCTTTTTCACCATAGTGTCTGCGCCATGCTGATTTATAGCTACGCATTTGTAGTACCCGCTGTCTGATACCTGAGTCTTGGAGATATGAAGAGAACCATTAAAATGCACCAAGGCTTTGGAGGAATTGTCTTGGGAGTGGACTATTTGGCTGCTTGGAAGAATCCAGTTTATCTCAGCATCCGGGGAGCTGGATGCAGGGCAGTCCATAGAAATGGGGTTTCCCGCAAACTCCTCCATTGAAACGGCGGAGGTGTCGTCTCCTGGTGGGGGACTGGAGGACTCCTGGACGGACAGGTAGAAGGAAAGCACGGCGACATCTCCAGGAACCTTGGCCATGCAGTAGAAAGTTCCGGTGTCACTGTGGGTAACAGCTTTGATTCGCAGCTGTCCATCCCTGGAGACGGAGACTCTGTTTCCAGGACCGCTGTAAGGGCTGGCCAGTTCTGAGCCATCTGGCAGCGTCCACCGGATTTCCGCCGGGTCGGAGCTCCGAACGTTACAGAACATTTCACTGGGACTTCCAAGGATTGCACTCATAACTTTACGAGTCCTGTTTGTGGAATCGATCATAACCCAGGTCCTGCCCAGTCTCTGCTGCTGCTCCGTTTCCACCAATTCTGAGAGGGTGGTCCTGAGAGCGAGGATCACCGTTCTGATTGATGACTCAGCACGGTTCAGCTGTAGCTCCACAGACGGCTGCATCAGCCATGCGGGCCGTGCCCACATTTGGACTTTTAGCCCTGTGTAGTACCCGGCATCCAGCTCAGAATCCTGCTCGTACGCATAGGCCAGCTCAGGGTCTTTGGTCAGGGCGGGGCCCCGTTTCAGATGGGCGGGGACGTTGCTGTAGTAAGCGATTGCTTTCCACAGCTGCTCGTATTTCTTCCTGTCTACGGCGCACTGCAGCTCCACTGAGAGGCTGACATTGGCCAGTAGCTGGAGCTTGCTGACCTGCTCCCAGCTCACCTTGGACGGTTCTTGCAGCTCATCTACACTGCACTCCAGATCTAACTTGTTCCCATGTTCATCTGAGAGGCCCATAGATATGTTACCTATTGGGTCCTTAAAGTCCTTGGAGGTCAGCATCTGACGCTCTGACTCCGGTGGAGGTGACGTTCCATGAAGGAGGCTGATGACAGGGCTGCTGCAGACCAGGGGAGCAGCAGCATGGAGGTCAGTGTCCTTCAGAGGTCTGGGAGAGGAGCATGAAGGACACAGCTGGCCACCTGGGAGGTCTCGGTCCTTTTTACATTTCAGAACCCCTGGAGAAGCACAGAGAAGAACAGTTAGAGTGAGAGAACTGTACTTCCCCCAAAAGGGAACTGGTCTTCCCCCAAAGGGAACTGGAATTCCCCCAAAAGGGAAGCCCAGTTCAGTGCATACAGGGGACACAGAAATCTCACCTGGTGAATCTTTTTCCAAGTCGTGGAACCAGCTCATGCCACAGTCGCAGGTCCACGGGTTACCATGGAGGTACAGGCTCTCGAGGTGGGGCATGGTCCCCAGCAGCTGGGAGGGCAGCGACGTGAGTCCGTTGTCAGACAGGTGGAGGTGTCGCAGCGTGGAGATGTAGAACTGGTCCCTGAGCGCGAAGGTTCTGAAGGTGGTGGCGTGCAGCTGTTGAAGGCGGTTTCCCTCCAGCTGCAGGAAGCGTAAGGAGGTGAGTCCCTGGAAGGCGTCCGGATGGATGAGTTCCAGCTGGTTGTGATCCAGATGCAACCTGGACAAGGACCACAGGCCGTGGAACGTGCGCCGGTTAATCTCCTTTAACTTGTTGTAGCTCATCTTCATCATCTGAAAAACAGAGAGGTTTCAAAATGATCCACAACATCATCAAGGTGGGAGTCAGAACAGAGAAGGTGTGTAACTACTGGAGTCATTACAGGAACCTTTACAGCAGATGTTTCCAGCAACCCAACTGGTCCCGTCATTAAAAGTAATCAAACAGACCATGGAAACATGACTTGAATGAAAAAGAAAATAATTAAATGGGCTAACGGCATAGTGAGAAATCATCTGGAATCTGTCAGTATCAATAAAACAGCCCAGCTAATAAAGACCTGCTGGGAAGGAGCACATAGACCTTCACCAGACGGTCTACCTGATGCTAGGAGTGGTCGCAGCAGCCTGTCTAGGTTTAGATCTATACTGAACCATGAAGTAGAGCTGCTGAGCCACAGCAGACTAATGCTAAAACAAGAAATGACCAAAAAAAACAACACATCAACGCCCCAGAAAGCAGGTAGATGTGGATCTCATCCATTTAAGGGTCACCATGTTCACAGTCAGAGGTTATCTCCGTTTCAGATCCAGAACCTTGTTGGGCTGAGATCAGCAGCCCTACTTAACACATCAAAAGGGGGGGGACTGATCCATTCAGAGACCGGAAGCACCGGTCCATTAGTCGGGTCTGAACAGCACCGGTCCATTGATCCGGTTTTGGGCCCTGGTGTTGGTTCCTGGTGTCGGGTCTTGGGGTTGGTCCGTGGTGTTGGTTCTTAGTTCCCTGTGTAGGTCCTTGGCTCCTGGTGTTTGTACTTGTTGTTGATTTCTGCTGTTGGTCCTTGGTGTTGGTCATTGGTTACCGCTGTTGGTCCTTGGTGTTGGTCATTGGTTACCGGTGTAGGTCCTTGGTGTTGGTCATTGGTTACCGGTGTTGGTCCTTGGTGTTGGTCATTGGTTACCGGTGTTGGTCCTTGGTGTTGGTTCCTGGTGTTGGTCTTTGGTATTGGTTCTTGTTGTTGGTTCCTGGTGTTTGTTCTTGGTTCCCTGTGTTAGTTCTTGGTGTTGGTTCCTGGTGTTGGTCCTTCATTCTTGGTTTTGGTCTTTCGTATTGGTTCTTATTGTTGGTTCCAGATGTTCGACCCTGGTATTGGTTCCTGGTGTTGGTCTCTGGTGTTAGTCCAGGGGATTGGTTCCTGGTGTTTATTCTTGGTTCCCTGTGTTGTTCCTTGGTTCCTGGTGTTGGTTGCAGGTGTTGGTCCTTCATTCCTGGTTTTGGTCTTTGGTATTGGTTCTTGTTGTTGGTTCCATGTGTTCCAATCCTGGTATTGGTTCCTGGTGTAGGTTGTTGGCTCCCTGTGTTGTTCCTTTGTTCATGGTGTCGGTCCTTGGTGTTGGTTCTTGGTTCCCTGTGTTTGTCCTTGGTTTCTGGTGTCGGCCCCTGGTTCCACGTGTTGCTCTTTGGTTTCTGGTGTCGGACCTTGGTTCCTGGTTTTGGTCTTTGGTATTGGTTCTTGTTGTTGGTTCCAGGTGTTCCAACCCTGGTATTGGTTCCTGGTGTAGGTTGTTGGTTCCCTGTGTTGTTCCTTGGTTCCTGGTGCAGATCCTTGGTGTTGGTTACTGGTGTTGGTTCTTGGTTTCCTGTGTTGGTCCTTGGTTTCTGGTGTCGGCCACTGGTTCCAGGTGTTGGTCCTTGGTTTATGGTGTCGGTCCTTGGTTCCGGGTGTTGGTTCTTGGTTCCTGGTGTTGGTTCTTGGTGTAGGTCTCTGGTGATAGTCCTTGGTATTTATTCCTGCCGTTGGTCATTGTTTCCTGGTTTTGGTTCCTGCTGTTGGTTCTTGGTTCCCTGTGTTGGTCATTGGTTTCTGGCGTTGGTTCTTGGTTCCCGAGTTGGTCCTTTGTTCCTGTGTTGGTTCTTGGTTCCCTGTGTTGGTCCTTGGTGTTGGTTCCTGTTGTGTGTTCTTGGTTCCCTGTGTTTGTCCTTGTCCTGGTGTTGTTACTTTTTTTACCTGGTTTTGGTTTCCTGTGTTGGTCCTTGGTTTCTGGAGTTGGTCCTTGGGTTGGGTACTGGTTTGTTCCCGTTTGGTCCTTCCTGCTTGTTGGTCTTGGTGGACCTGTGTTGGTTCATGTGTTGTCCTTCGTGTTGGTTCCTGTTTTGCCCTGGTTGGTCCTTTGTTCCTGTGTTGGTCCTTCTTGTTGTTTCCTGTATTGGTCCTTGGGTTCCGGTGTTTGTCCTTGTGCTGTTCTTGGTGTTGACCCTGTTTGTTCCGTTGTGCCTTGCTGTTGTCCTTGTTTTGGTTCCTGGTGGTGTGATCCTGTGTTTGGTTCCTGTGTTGGTCCTTGGTTGGTTCCTGGTGTTTTCCTTGGTTTCCTGGTGTGGTCCTGGTTTTTTCCTGTGCTGTTAGTTGTTTCTGTCTGGTTTTGGTTCTCCTGTGTTGTCGTTGCCTTGTTTTTTCCTTTTGGTTCCTGTGTTGGTCCTTGGTGTTGTTCTGTGTTTGGTTTCCTGTGTGTTCGGTTCCTGTGTTGTCTGTGTTCTGTGTGTCTGTGTTGGTTCCTTCTGGTTTGTTCCGTGTTGTTTTGTTTCTTGTTGGTTTCCTGGTTTTCCGTTGTCCCCTGGCTGTTTTGTTTGTTCCTGTGGTGCCTGTGTTGGTTCTGTTGTTGTTCCTGTGTTGGTTCTGGTTCTGGTTCTGGTGTGTGTTTCCTGTGGTTGTGTTTGTTCCTGGTGTCTAGGTTCGTTTCCTTGGTGTTTGTTCCTGGTGTGTTGGTTACTTGTGTTCCTGGTTTGTTCGTCGGTCTGCCTTGGTTGTTATTGTGTCCTGTGCTTGTTCATTCAGTTCCTGGTGTTGGTTTGTCCTGTGTTGTTCCTTGTTCCGTTTGGTTTCCTGGTTCAGTCCCTGGTGTTGGTTCGCCTGGTGTTGTTCCTTGGTTCCTGTGCGTTCGCTTGGTCTACTGGTGTCTGTGCTTCGTTCATGGTGTTGGTTCTTGGTTCCAGTGTTGGTTTCTGGTTCAGTCCCTGGTGTTGGTTCGCGGTGTTGTTCCTTGGTTCCGGTTGTTGGTCCTTGGTTCCAGGTGTTGTTCCTTGGTTCCAGGTGTTTGATCTAGGTGTTGGTTTCTGGTGTTGCTCGTGAGTTCCTGGTGTTCCTTCCTGCTGTTGGTTCCTGGGATTGTTTTTTTTTTTGTTCTTTGTGTTCCTTCCTGCTGTTTGTTCCTTGGTTCCTGGTGTTGGTTTCTGTTGTAGGTTCCTGGTGTTGGTTCCTGGTGTCGGTTTCTGTTGTAGGTTCCTGGTGTTGGATCCTGGTGTTGGTTCCTAGTTTTGGATTCTATTGTAGGTTCCTGGTGTTGGTTTCTCTTGTAGGTTCCTGGTGTTTGTTCCTGGTGTTAGTTTCTTTTGTAGGTTCCTGGTGTTTGTTCCTGGTGTTAGTTCCTGGTGTTGGTTTCTGTTGTACGTTCCTGGATTTGGATCCTGGTGTTGGTTCCTAGTGTTGGTTTCTATTGTAGGTTCCTGGTGTTGGATCCTGGTGTTGGTTCCTAGTGTTGGTTTCTATTGTAGGTTCCTGGTGTAGGTCCTTCTTGTTGTTTCCTCGTATTGGTCCTTGGTTCCAGGTGTTGGTCCTTGGTGCTGGGTCTTGGTGTTGAACCCTGGTGTTGTTCCCCGTTGTCGGTCCTTGCTTTCAGTCCTTGCTTTTGGTTCCTGGTGGTGGACCTTGGTGTTGGTTCATGGTGTTTGTCCTTCGTGTTGGTTCCTGGTTTTTGACCCTGGTGTTGGTCCTTTGTTCCTGGTGTTGGTCCTTCTTGTTGTTTCCTCGTATTGGTCCTTGGTTCCAGGTGTTTGTCCTTGGTTCTGGTTCTTGGTGTTGAACCCTGGTGTTGATCCCCGTTGTCGGTCCTTGCTTTCAGTCCTTGCTTTTGGTTCCTGGTGGTGGATCCTAGTGTTGGTTCATGGTGTTGGTCCTTCATGGTTTTTCCTTGTGTCAGTGTTCCTGGTGTTGTTTGGTTCCTTGTGCAGTTCCTTGGTTACTGTTGTTGGTCCCTTGTTCCGAGTATTGGTTCTTGGTTCCTTCCGTTGATCCCTGGTGTTGTTCCTTGGTTCCTGGTGTTGGTTCATGATTCCTGGTGTTGGTTCTTGGTTCCTGGTGTTGGTTCCTGACGTCAGTCCCTGGTTTTGGTCCCTGGTGTTTTACCTTGGTTGCTTGTGCCGTTCCTTGGTTTATGGTGTCTGTGCTTCGTTCATGGTGTTGGTTCTTGGTTCCAGTGTTGGTTTCTGGTTCAGTCCCTGGTGTTGGTTCTAGGTGTTGATCCTTGGTTCTTTCTTGGGATCCCTGGTGTTGGTTCGCTGTGTTGTTCCTTGGTTCCGGTTGTTGGTCCTTGGTTCCAGGTGTTGTTCCTTGGTTCCAGGTGTTTGATCTAGGTGTTGGTTTCTGGTGTTGGTTCTGAGTTCCTGGTGTTCCTTCCTGCTGTTGGTTCCTGGGATTGTTTTTTTTTGTTCTTTGTGTTCCTTCCTGCTGTTTGTTCCTTGGTTCCTGGTGTTGGTTTCTGTTGTAGGTTCCTGGTGTTGGTTCCTGGTGTCGGTTTCTGTTGTAGGTTCCTGGTGTTGGATCCTGGTGTTGGTTCCTAGTGTTGGATTCTATTGTAGGTTCCTGGTGTTGGTTTCTCTTGTAGGTTCCTGGTGTTTGTTCCTGGTGTTGGTTTCTCTTGTAGGTTCCTGGTGTTTGTTCCTGGTGTTAGTTTCTTTTGTAGGTTCCTGGTGTTTGTTCCTGGTGTTAGTTTCTGTTGTAGGTTCCTGGTGTTGGTTTCTGTTGTAGGTTCCTGGTGTTTGTTCCTGGTGTTAGTTTCTGTTGTAGGTTCCTGGTGTTGGTTTCTGTTGTAGGTTCCTGGTGTTTGTTCCTGGTGTTAGTTTCTGTTGTAGGTTCCTGGTGTTTGTTCCTGGTGTTAGTTTCTGTTGTAGGTTCCTGGTGTTGGTTCCGGGTGTTGGTTTCTGTTGTAGGTTCCTGGTGTTTGTTCCTGGTGTTAGTTTCTGTTGTAGGTTCCTGGTGTTGGTTCCTGGTGTTGGTTTCTGTTGTAGGTTCCTGGTGTTGGATCCTGGTGTTGGTTCCTAGTGTTGGTTTCTATTGTAGGTTCCTGGTGTTGGTTTCTGTTGTAGGTTCCTGCACTGCAAAAAATATAAATCTCAATAAGTTATTTTTTCTTAAAATAAGTGTGTTTTTCCTTGATTTGAGGAGATAAGTAAGACACTTTGCCAATGGAACAAGACAATTTCCTTTTAAAATAAGAAAAAACTATTTTATCGTCTTATTTCAAGTAAATATTATCTAACTATCTTATTTTAAGAGTGAAAATACTCATTCCATTGGCAAATCATCTTATTTACCTGCTCAAATTAAGGCTAAATATACTTAATTTAAGCCATTTTTTACTTATTTCTGGATTGTTTTTGCAGTGTGGTGTTTGTTCCTGGTGTTAGTTTCTGTTGTAGGTTCCTGGTGTTTGTTCCTGGTGTTAGTTTCTGTTGTAGGTTCCTGGTGTTGGATCCTGGTGTTGGTTCCTAGTGTTGGTTTCTATTGTAGGTTCCTGGTGTTGGTTTCTGTTGTAGGTTCCTGGTGTTTGTTCCTGGTGTTAGTTTCTGTTGTAGGTTCCTGGTGTTTGTTCCTGGTGTTAGTTTCTGTTGTAAGTTCCTGGTGTTTGTTCCTGGTGTTAGTTTCTGTTGTAGGTTCCTGGTGTTGGTTTCTGGTGTTGGTTTCTGTTGTAGGTTCCTGGTGTGGGTTCCTGGTGTTGATTTCTGTTGTAGGTTCCTGGTGTTTGTTCCTGGTGTTGGTTTCGGTTGTAGGTTCCTGGTGTGGGTTCCTAGTGTTGTTTCCTGGTTTCGGTTCCTGGTGTTTGTTCCTGGTGACGGCCCGGGATGTTTGTCTTTCATTCTTCTATAGACCTGTTTGCCTGCTGAGAGAAAAGCATGGGTCCCTCCTCCAAGTGCCTCCTGTTGTTTGAAGACCACAGACATAAGAGCAGCAGGTCTGACCTTTGACCCCTGATGGACCTGGGTGAGTGTTGGAGCTCTGCAATGGCTCCCACTCTTCAGGAGTCACACATCTAATGATGGATGGATGCGTTATTTAAGCTTTATTTGTCGAGCTATCATTGAATCTATTGTGTAAAATAATCCAACACAGAATAAAGTTGGTGTTGAACGTGTTTTTGAATAAAGGTGTTTGAATGTGGAGCATCTCTGACCCGACCCTGATGGTGGAAAAACAGAAGACACTGATGGAGGTTCACTAAAGGTCTGGTTCCTCCAGTAAAGCTTTAAAGGGAGGATTACTGGATCAGAACCAGTTCTCCAGCCGGTACCTGAAGTGATGCCAGGTCCCTGAAGGCTCCATCAGGCAGAGAGTGGATGTTGTTGCCGTGGACCATGAGCAGCTCCAGCTTCTTCAGCCCAGACAGGGAGCCGACCCCTATGTGGCCGATGCTGTTAAACCTGAAAACATGCAGAGTGAAGAGCTGGATCACCAGAACAAACACCCTCCGCTGATCCCTGAATCCCTTCCTCACCCCAAGTTAACGCGCTTCACATGCCGGGACACGGCGCCTGGGACGGAGAGGAGGGAGCGGAACGTGCAGTGCAGCTCAGCCGGATGAGGGCAGGAGCAGGGTCGGGGGCAGGGAGCAGGAAGCCCAGGGGGCAGGAGCACCAGGAGAGTCTGGAGGAGCCACAGCGTGCAGTGCTCCCTCTTCATCCTCACAGACGGCAGGTGGGGAGGGGGCTGCTTGGAGTGCCTGGAAAGTCTGAGTCTGTCTGCCTGGAATCACATTTTATGCACCATTTAACCAGAGAGAGAAGACAGAAACCAGAGCCTGGAGCGGCAGGACAAGATGAGGAAGCACTCACCTCAAAGTACTGGGAACCTCCCTGCAGGCAGCTCCTCCTGACCCATCCTGTCGCTATGACCTCAAACAAGCCTGGAGAACCGGACAGAGGAGAGCCGGAGACGTCCGGGAGGAAAACGGGAGACGTCTGGGAGGAAAACCGGAGACGTCTGGGAGGAAAACTGGGGGAGAAAACTAGAGACGTCTGGGAGGAAAACGGGAGGAGAGGTCAGATCCAGAGTGCTTCCTCAGCCCCAGTCTGAAGGGAGTGAAGCAGCAGCTGCTAGAGCGAAAGCAGGAGACGCAGCGGGAGGAGTCTGACGGAGGGCAGGGCAGATCCTCCTCCTGCTCCTCCATCCAGACACACCGATCCTGAGTGCAGGAAGCGGCTGAAGGCTGTTTGCTCAGAACGTGCTGGTGCAGACCGGCTGACCCGGACGGTTTCTCTGTGAGGAACCAGACCCGGTCCTGGATCCACCTCCAGAACCCTTCATGGTGAGATCGTGGGTCAGAGCAGAACCTGGTTCTTTAAAAACCTGCTGGGTTCCAGGCTTTCTGGTGTAAGTTTCTGGGTCACGTACAGCTGTTGGACCTGAAAGGATTCCTATGGAGACTCAGTCATGGAGCATGATGCTGAACCTGGAAGCTAAAGCTAAAAGTCAAAGGGAAGCGCTTTAGCCAAAGATGGCTACCAAGCGTTAAGCTATCAGGAAAACTGCTGTCTGTTGTCCATGATCAGTCCTGCTCGTCTCCAACAAACTCCCAAAAAAAAGATTTTTTAATGAAAAACCTAAACCCTTTATTTTCTCAGCGTCTTTAACTTAGCCACTCTCATTAATAACGTTAGCTTTATAAGCTAACGGCTAAAGGTGCCTAAATACAAACCTTTCAGGAAGGAAATCTTGTTTTCATTTTCACTTATAGTTTCAAGCTTTGAGGTAATGTCTTCATGTGACCGCTAGCTCATGCTAGCTGTGGCCACCAGAAGGTCATGAATCCAAAATGGCCGATATTAGAAGAAAGGGTAGCACTTTGCTGACATGGTGGGTGTTAGCGTAGCGTTAAACCAGTGGAACACACGGTTCTATGTATTAAAAAGTGTTTTTTCTTTTTGAATGTTTAAAGTGTCTTCATGCGACCGCTAGCTCATGCTAGCTCTGGATACTGGAAGTTCATGCATCCAAAATGGCCGATATTAGAAGAAAGGGTAGCACTTTGCTGACATGGTGGGTGTTAGCGTAGCGTTAAACCAGTGGAACACATGGTTATATGTGTTAAAAAGTATCTGTTTCTTTCTGAATGTTTAAAGTGTCTTCATGCGACCGCTAGCTCATGCTAGCTCTGGATAATGGAAGTTCATGCATCCAAAATGGCCGATATTAGAAGAAAGGGTAGCACTTTGCTGACATGGCGGGTGTTAGCGTTGCGTTAAACCAGTGGAACAGACGGTTCTATGTGTTAAAAAGTTTTTTTTTTTTTATGTTTAAAGTGTCTTCATGCGACCGCTAGCTCATGCTAGCTCATACTAGCTCATGCTAGCTCATGCTAGCTCATGCTAGCTCTGGATACTGGAAGGTCAAGCATCAAAAATGGCCGATATTAGAAGAAAGGGTAGCACTTTGCTGACATGGCATATGTGTTAAAAAAGTATCTTTTTCTTTCTGAATGTTTAAAAGTTGTTAGCCCACGGGGCCCTCAGGTTCCTCTGGATTCCAGAACCTTCTGCAGCTGCAGCCTCTCCGTCCAAACGTGCCAAAACCAAAAATCAGCCTTCAGAGCTGCAGAGGTTCCCTTTCTTCAGGTGAAACGTGTCATTTCCTGTCCACCATCTCCTTGGTGGCAGTCAGGGATTCAGGTCTCAGAACTGCCTGCAGGCCTGCACCTGGGTGCCAGCTGCTGGGAAACTCTCATTACAGAAGGACTCCATAAAGATTAAACACATACAGCTATGTAGCATCAGCAGGTTAGGTCGCAGTGAGGATGGGGTAGATTACGCCGCCGTCTCTTGGACTCAGAGTCTGGTTCCAAACCTTCCAGAGGAGGTCAGGTCAGGTTAGGATGATGGCTCCGGACACAAAACAAGGCAGCGAGGGAGGGAGTTTATCCCAAAATGTAGCATTGCTGATGAGGGGAGGGTTCCTGACATGCTAGCCTGTCATTGAACTAAAGCCTCCTCTGACTGACGGAGAACATCTGTTGGATGTGGGATTGCTGCTGTCGTTCAGCTGAATATTAAAGCAGAACCCGCTGTTTGATGTTCACATTGGGAGCTAAGCTAGGCTGTCCACACCACCCGCTGTTTTGTCCATTCTGATGATCAGCACATGTTCTGCATATTCTTAAAGGAACCTGGAACTTTCCTGCTTTGCGGCAAAAAATATAAAAGTAGGATTGAAGCCTAAACTGGAGGGAGACAGAGAGGAGAGCTCCGCGTTGGGAGGTCCGTCCATGTTTACAGTAACCGCGCGTTACAGCTGCGGGAAAGACGAGACGGACATCATCACTCAGTTATGCCGGTGAGTAATGAGCAAGCTTCATGGGAAAACAGCTGTTCCTGGATATTCTGTTTAACAGGATGTCTCCATGGACGTATCCGTTTCTCTGACAGTAACCCCTGTCTCAGAGATCTCTGATCCACAGCGGCTCGTTTCCTCGCTGGGATGGCCAGCATCAGCCAATCAGATCAGAGAAGAGTGTGAGGCGCTGCCTGGAGCCTGAGCAGCATCAGGTTAAGAGGTCAGACCAGATGAAGCTACTATGAGAAAAAGCAGAGAGAGCAGAAGGTTAGAGATTGAACTAACAGATTCTGCAGAATAGGAGAACAGAGATAGAATGAAGCAGAATGATGAAAAAGGGGTCCCTATGTCCTCCAGCAGTCTAAGCCTATAGCAGCAGAACTATAGAGATAGATCAGGATAACCTGAGCCACTCTAACTAGAAGCTTTATCAAAAAGGAAAGTTTTAAGCCTAGCCTTAAAAGTAGACAGGGTGTCTGCCTCACGGACTAAAACTGGTAGTTGGTTCCACAGGAGAGGAGCCTGAGAACTAAAAGATCTGCCTCCCATTCTACTTTTAGAAATTCTAGGAACCACTAGTAAACCTGCAGATTGAGAGCAAAGTTCTCTGTTAGGAACATAGGAACAATGATATTTGATTTCCTAACCTCATCGCTGACCGGATGTGGACAGATTTAGAGTCCCTCTAGCAGAAAACTGACCTGGAGTGTTCTGAGAATTCTCAGATTATTCTGACATTTCCCATATTAAACTGAAATAAAATGTAAAAATCAGTTAACTTTTTTTTTTCAGTGGCCCTAATCCTCATCTGTAGTTTGTAGACTCCAAATGGTCACAAAATTATATTTTATAGGAAAAAGGCCACAGTTTTTGAACATAGAAACATCAATGACCTCTTTGGAAAGATAAGACGTAGATGTAGATTGTCTTCAGAGCTTGGCGGCCTGAGGCAGATGGAAGCAGGCTGAGGTCATCCTTGGAACGAATCTTTCTGAGTTAGCTGGGAGTATGAAGGACACGGGTAGCAGCTAGCAGAGCCAGGTCGTTAATCGCTGTGAACGGGGGCTCCTTCAGAGCAAACGTTCCGGGGTTCTGGGTTTCAGCCACCAGATGGATCCACGCCACCACAGCAGATACCATGGAGGCTCCCACAGAGAAGGTCCCCTGGTCTGAATCCTTTTCTGTTACGTTCCGCCTTCTTTAGGTGAACTGCTGATGATGTGAAAAAGGACAGACCTAGAGATGGAAGGACAGCACCTACTAATGACCACTATATAGGGCCCTATATAGTGGCGTAACCACTATAGTGCCATAACCACTATATAGGGCCCTATATAGTGGTTATGGCACTATAGTGGTTACGCCACTATATAGGGCCCTATATAGTGGCGTAACCACTATATAGGGCCCTATATAGTGGTTACGCCACTATATAGGGCCCTATATAGTGGTTACGCCACTATATAGGGCCCTATATAGTGGTTATGGCACTATAGTGGCGACCCCCCTTTCAGAGACATAGACAGGTATGGGGCATTGCAGGCTAACAAAGAAGCCAAATGACCCCCATTCCAAAGGGGGGGACCCGTTCATCCGTTTCTATTTGCATGTTTTCTAAACTAAAACCAGGCTTTGTTGGGCTGCTGGATAAAACCTGGAACTAAACGCTATTTCTGACATTTTGAACTGAAAAAGCTTCCTGGATGGAAGAGAAACGTCTTCAAACCTGGAAACAAAGTCCAGAGGATTGATTTCAACTTTTTTTGGAATAATGTTAAAGTGACATAATAATGATAATATTTCCAGATGTTTCTCCCTTAAGTAGACACCTGGGCTTTGCTCTCAGTCTGGGTGGAGCCGTCTAGACTCGGAGCCTCTGGTCTGTGTTGTGGCCATGATGGACAGTCCTGATTCATGCTGGCATGCGGCCGTTAGAGCGAGCAGGAGTTTCCTACCCCTCAGAGCTAAACCTTTAAAGAGAAACCAGAGATGAAGGATCTCCTCTCTGGGATTCTCAGGAAAGCACAAATATATCAGGCAGGTGCTGATTGGACAGAGGACAGGTCCGTCCTTCTTCTTCAACTGCATGACACGGCGCTAGGCGAGTTTGGCTGGGAGTTCATTCATAGTGCCGCCTCAGAGGAGAAGAGACAAGCCGTGTCACCTCCCTGCTGATGTGCAGGTCCTCACCAAGCCTGGCACAGCATTAGCAGCCTTCTTTGTCAGGAAGCTGATAGTTTTCACCTCATGAGACTCTGGCAACATCTGCAGAGAAGACAGGGCGTCCATTTAGCTTCTGTAGCCTCATCAGAGCCGTGCTGAATGCAGAAGCTGATCCGTATGGAAGAAAAACTGTCCCATTGGAATCTGCCTTTTTTTGTTCCCCAAAGTTTAAACAAACTTTTTTTTAACAGCGTATTTTAACCACTGTATTTTTATCCAGTGAGAATTCACCTGCTAATGTTGACCTTTTGGTGAACTCAAGCCAGACCAATCTAGTCGAGCAGCTTCTAGCCAATGAAATCAGCTCATTTGGTCACGTGACACAACCATTGGCTGAATGAGTTTTTCTTCTTAAATAAATCTGAAAACAAAAATGTCAGTTAGCTGCTAACAGACAGCCATTAGAGCTTCTAATGGGACTGGGTGAACTAACTGAGCCGATCACAGCTACTGCAGCACCCCCGTCTGCCAAGACTCTTGGTTTGATCCGGAAGAAGCGTTCGGGGGCAAACTTTTCTTTCTGACCAAATGAGGTC